ATAATAATAATAATATTAATGATAATAATATATAATAAGAGAGGGAGAGAGAGAGAGAGAGAGAGAGAGATGAGGTAAAAGTAATTAAGTTTATTAATAGTTATTCATCACAGGTGAAGGTAAGTCATCAAGATTTATACAAATATAAACTTTTGGCTGAATTTATATTATTATTATTATTATTACTGATGTTGTTTATTGCCTTAGAACCTAACCTAACCTAACCTAACCTAACCTAACCTAACTTAACTTCATAGGCCTTTGTTCAGTGTACGGCAAGTTTTTTTTTTTTTTTGGTACACAGTAAACAATAAACACCTCCCCACGGCTCTTTACACAACAAACATGGCGGCTTTGCTTACGTCCGGGTCCATTGTCGTGAACTGTTTAACTACCTTGTTTGATATCCAGAACGGCCTCACCAAAACACCCAGGTTTTACGTTCATTGAGGCTCTACTACGTTTACTGAGGCTCTACTTTCACCAAGGCTCTACATTCACTCAAACACGTTCAACGAGGCTGTACGTTCACCTACACGTTCAATGAGGCTGTACGTTCACCTACACGTTCAATGAGGCTGTACGTTCACCTAGACACCTTCACTTTGTTTCATTTGGAAGACAGTTAACGTGTTCAGAATGTTTGCGTTGAGACCAGCAAGTTGTGTTGAATACTGAACACCAGGAGAGAGAGAGAGAGAGAGAGAGAGAGAGAGAGAGAGAGAGAGAGAGAGAGATCCGTTGTTTGGAAAGGTTTGTGGTTCACTTGACACTAACCCGACCATGATGGAAGCGAGGCCACCCACAGCCACCCACGGAGGCCTCTGTCCGCCCACACCCTACACCCACCCACTCAAGGAGACCCCCCCCCCTACACACACACTGTAGGGGAGGAAGGCAGTACAAGAAGAAATGGAAATGAGAAGAGTGAAGATAAAAGGCTGGCTAACGAATTGTAATGGGTAGTTAGGTTAGGTTAAGTTAACGACCGCAAGGCTGCGAAAAAATGGTCATTACGATTACTGTTATTGTGAGATATTATTATTATTATTATTATTATTATTATTATTATTATTATTATTATTATTATTATTATTAATAGTAGTAGTAGTAGTAGTAGTAGTAGTAGTGGCTATTCCTATGATGGCGATCACGCCATGGTTTGCAAGAAGGGGGGCTTCATATGCATGAGGCATGACGAGGTAAGGGATCTCACAGCAAATATGTTGAAGGAAATCTGCCGGGACGTCATGGTAGAACCGACCCTCCTTCCACTGGATGGCGAGATCTTCCAACACAGGACTTCAAACACATCTAACGAAGCCCGTGTGGACGTCAGTGCTCGAGGATTCTGGACGCGGGGACAGCGAGCTTTCTTCGACATCAGGATTTTTGATCCCATGGCCGTTTGTCACCGTAACCTAGCTCTCGATGCTGCGCATAGGAGGAACGAGAACGACAAGAGAAGGGCATATGGGGAGAGAATTCAAAATGTTGATCAAGGCAGCTTCACTCCTCTAGTGTTCACAACCTCTGGTGGGATGGGCCCAAGTGCAAGATGTTTCTACGCCAGACTCGCGGAGCTGATCTCCGAACAGAAGCAGCAGCCCAGAAGTTATGTCACAGCCTGGATGAGATGTCGACTGTCCTTCTCTCTCCTTCGGTCGGCTTTGCTCTGCCTCAGGGGAACGAGAGCTTCTGCCCCTACTCCGACAACTGCTGCAGATATCGACTATGAGGCTACAGTCACTGAATGCCGCATGGATCTGCGGCTCAACTAATTTAACACAGATAGGATAGTTTCTTATGTATTAGGATATTTAATATTAAGGTAAATAAATGGTGGCGAAGGTGTGGCTATTGGGGGAGGCTGGAGGTAGTAGTAGTAGTAGTAGTAAATTTACTGAAGGAAATCTGCCACGACGTCATGGTGGATCCGCCCCCCCCCCCCTTCCATTGGACGGTGAGAACCTCTGCCACAGGACTTCAAACACATCCAACGAAGCCCGTGTGGACGTCAGTGCTCGAGGATTCTAGACGCGGGGACAGCGAGACTTCTTTGACATAAGGATTTTCGACCCCATGGCCGCATGTCACCGTAACTCAGCTCTCGATGCTGCACACAGGAGGAACGAGAACGACAAGATAAGGGCATACGGAGAGAGAATTCAGTACGTTGATCAAGGCAGCTTCACTCCTCTGGTGTTCACAACCTCTCGAGGGATGGGACCAAGTGCAAGATGTGTCTACGCCAGACTCGCGGAGGTGTTATCTGAACGGAAGCAGCAGCCCAGAAGTTATGTTACAGCCTCTCTCCTTAGGTCGGCTTTGCTCTGTCTTAGGGGAACGAGAGCATCGGCCCCAAAGCCGACAACAGTTGCAGATATTGACTATGAGGCAACAGTCACTGAATGCCGCATAGATCTGCGACTCAACTAACTCAAGACAGCTAGGATAGCTACTTATGTACTAAGATATTTAATATTAAGGTAATAAAATGGTGGCGAAGGTGTGGCTATTGGGGGAGGCTGGAGGCCAATTTAAAAAAAGTAGTAGTAGTAGCAGTAGTAGTAGTAGTAGAACAATAGCAGACCTGCTATTATCTGGCTCATATTATATCTGTACTTCAAACTGTACCTGTTCTGGGTGTTTCTGTAATTCTTCCGTAGTCACTTGAGTATCACTGTAACTTCTGTATTCCTGTAATTTATGACTGTTTAATTTTCTCGTTATTCTGAATGTGATCTTGTGAAGATACTTGGCACTACTGTGTTGTCCCGAGGGTGTCCTCTCTCTCTGGTGGGTCTCCGCTTAAGGGTGATGGGTGGCGGCTGGCGGCTCCATGGTGACGGGCTGATGGTGGCTGGCGGCTGTTGGTTAAAGGGTGATGTGTGGCGGCTTAAGGGTGGCGGCTGGCGGCTGGCGGTTTTGTAACCACCCCTCCCCCTCATCCCCCCTTCCTACTGTCTATCTGTCTTTCCCCTCCTCCCCTTCTTCCTCCTCCTTCCCCGCCTTCTACCACCTACTACACCTCCTCCTCCTCTTCCTCCTCGTGTCTGCGGTTTGGTCATTTACAACACATCAGTTCCGGGTTCGTCTACACTCCACTCCTGCTGGTCGGTTCTACTCCGGTTCTTTGTCGTCCATAGCGGCTGGTTCTTAGTTTATAGTTTTGTCCTTGTCCGGTTCTTGGTTCACACACACACCATCCGGGTTAAGAGTGACGTCATACACTTTTTAGTCATGCTGGCTCCGTTTTCCTTCGATCACCTGCGCATACCTGAAAATGTCATTCATACTTATAATTACTCTCCACACCTGGTCTAGTACACCTGTAGCGTTGTTGTTGTTGTTGTTATTGTTTTCTCTCTCTCTCTCTCTCTCTCTCTCTCTCTCTCTCTCACCAATTGTGTTTTTCTTAGCCATGTTTGTTTACCGTCACCATAGCAAGACACCATCATCACTATACCGACACTTCATCTTCACTATAACACAGTATACCATCATCATACCAATACTACACCATACCAACACTACAGTACACCATACCAACACTACAGTACACCATACCAACACTACACCATACCAACACTACACCATACCAACACTACACCATACCAACACTACACCATACCAACACTACACCATACCAACACTACACCATACCAACACTACACCATACCAACACTACAGTACACCATACCAACACTACACCATACCAACACTACACCATACCAACACTACACCATACCAACACTACACCATACCAACACTACACCATATCAACACTACACCATACCAACACTACACCATATCAACACTACACCATACCAACACTACACCATACCAACACTACACCATATCAACACTACACCATACCAACACTACACCATACCAACACTACACCATACCAACACTACACCATACCAACACTACACCATACCAACACTACACCATACCAACACTACACCATACCAACACTACACCATACCACACCATCGAACTTGTTGAAACTTAAAATGAAAAAATTCTTCCGTCTAATTAAAATATTTCGCGCTTTTAAAATTTGGGAGACACTACCAGCTTAAAGTTGTCATACGCTTGAAGCTTATTATTTTAGCTTTACCTGTACACTGCCACTTCTCACCTGTTGGCTAATTAGATAGATAGATAGATAGATCGATAGATAGAGTATAGCCAACCAAACCCATTGTATTATTATTATTATTATTATTATTAAAATACATTTCAACCGTTGACTTAATCCTTCTTCATTTCAGTGTGTTATGTGGATAAGCCCGTGAGGTAACGTGTGTTAAATTAGATCATGGAGATGTTGAATGTTTTCTCACCTTAAGTTTAGGATTAATCTTATCCACTGTTGTATTCGTCAATTGTGCATTCTGTCGTTGTGCATTCTGTCGTTAATCGTGCATTCTTTCGTTGTGCATTCTGTCGTTAATCGTGCATTCTTTCGTTGTGCATTCTGTCGTTAATCGTGCAATCTTTCGTTGTGCATTCTGTCGTTAATCGTGCAATCTTTCGTTGTGCATTCTGTCGTTAATCGTGCAATCTTTCGTTGTGCATTCTGTCGTTAATCGTGCATTCTTTCATAAATCATACCTACTGAATTCGTGTAACACTGAAACCCACATACTGTAGCGCTGTATCCCTGTAATACTTGTAATTGTATTTTTCAGTTTAAAGTTTCAGCTCGCGAGGCAGTAGAGTAGTAAACAGAAACAGACAGACAAAGGCACGTACAGTAACTAGAGCCAGGGGGAGGAGTGGCATACGACGATCGTGTGTGTGTGTGTATGAAAGTCTAAATAACAAGAAAAGGATAAAATAATAGGTGAAGAACGAATAGGAGGAGCTATTTGTGAGTTGCTAGTAGTGCTTGTTGCCATCGTGGGGATAACGAAACCTGGCAACTGTTGATGGTGGTTGAGAGTCGGACCGAGGCGTGGAGCGGAACCGTGTGATTCACCAGTGTCGTATGAGAGAGAGAGAGAGAGAGCTGGCCCACTGATCAGTCACCAGTGTGCAGCAAGATTCGGCGGGGAGAGGTTGTGTTGGTTGACGTGTGCCCAGCTGCTCAGTGATAAAAGTGCGGCGTTGGGGGACAAGACTATAATACACACTCATCTTTACCTTGAGGGACTTGTTACTGGAGTGCTTTATAAATACACAAGCAGCTGTTCTGTCATCTTTCTCAACTAATAAGGTAAAGTGTGTTGACTGCCGCGTTCTTACCCACAAGTGTGTAGCTCTGCCTAAACTTAACACTTATATTACTTTAGATGGCACTTAATACACTTTACTGGTGTATAGTTATAAGTGATACTGTACTTGATAGTGGTGTTTTGAAGTGTGGTGAACGATGGTGTGTGTGTAACGACTGATAGATGGGTGGGGTGAGGCTGACTGCTGCCGGGATGGTGGTGGTGTGGTGCGGGTTGCTGGTAATGGTGGTAGTGGTAGTAGCTGTACTGTAGTAGTAGTGTGGTAGGAGTACTAGCTAGTAGCCGTACTGTGGCAGTAGTAGTAGTGTGACACGGGAGTTGTATGAGAAATCCTCCTTTGATTAATCCTAAATCCAGTATGGTGTATTCTGGGATTTATTTAGCCCCGAGTCCTGTCATTTTTGTCCGGGATTACTGTAGTGACGCTGGCATATACTTTTCAGCCACGGTATTATGTTACGGCGGTGATGTGACGCTGTTTTGACCAATGTTACCGTGATGTGACGCTGTTTTGACCAATGTTACCGGGATGTGACGCTGTTTTGACCAATGTTACCGGGATGTGACGCTGTTTTGACCAATGTTACCGGGATGTGACGCTGTTTTGACCAATGTTACCGGGATGTGACGCTGTTTTGACCAATGTTACCGGGATGTGACGCTGTTTTGACCAATGTTACCGGGATGTGACGCTGTTTTGACCAATGTTACCGGGATGTGACGCTGTTTTGACCAATGTTACCGGGATGTGACGCTGTTTTGACCAATGTTACCGGGATGTGACGCTGTTTTGACCAATGTTACCGGGATGTGACGCTGTTTTGACCAATGTTGCAGGATGTGACGCTGGACATTTTACTACTACTACCCCCTCCTTCACACCTCCCCATCCCTGTTTCCCCACATCCCTGTCCCTCTCCCCCATCCCTGTCCTCTCTCCCCATCCCTGCCCCCCTCTCCCCCCATCCCCCACACCCGTTCCCCACACCCCTATTGTACCGGACATCCGAATAGAAAGAGCACGGTAGAGGACTTCCCTTCCCCACTACATATGTTGTCTCTCTCTCAGGGTGTCATTGGCTGGTGTTGGGAAGGCTCCATGGGATGTTAATAATTATGTCAATATGACACCGAGACTCCACCTGGTGGTAATTAATGATGGTGGTTTGGGTCAGAATTGGGTCACTGTCATGGATTTTTTTTATTGGGTTTTAATTTTTATTTTTTTAGTTTTTCCTTTTTTGTTTAAATTTTTTTTTTCTGAAATATCCAAATGTTGTGTTGGATTAAGGAGAAAATTATAAGTTTGTCTATCTACAGTATCTATCTATCTATATATATATATATATATATATATATATATATATATATATATATATATATATAGTATCTATCAATCTATCTATATATGTACAGTATCTATCAATCTATCTATCTATCACGCGGACCACATACGAGCTAACATGACTTCAACTACCCAGGGATTACTGTCATTAGGTCATTAGCCACGGTATTAGGTTAGGTCAGGTCAGCTGCCGTCTGGACAAGGTGGGTTAGGTTAGCTGTGGTATGGTTTAGGGTAGGATTCTCTCTATTCCATCACGTAATTTACTGCTTTTATTTACGCATTAAACCTAAACACACCGGTGAAAACAACTTATGACAAAAGTATCAACAAACATTATGGCGGCGTTAAACTGACCGTGAACCAAAGTGTCTCTTAAGTCACATCAATAGGGACCACTTACTGCCTCACGCCTACCACCTCCCACCTACTGCCTCACGCCTACCACCTCACACCTACTGCCTCCCACCTCCCACCTACTGCCTCCCACCTCCCACCTACTGCCTCCCACCTCCCACCTACTGCCTCACGCCTACCACCTACTGCCTCACGCCTCCCACCTACTGCCTCACGCCTACCACCTACTGTCTCACACCTACCACCTACTGTCTCACACCTACCACCTCACACCTACTGCCTCACGCCTACCACCTACTGCCTCACGCCTACCACCTACTGCCTCACGCCTCCCACCTACTGTCTCACGCCTACCACCTACTGTCTCACACCTACCACCTACTGTCTCACACCTACCTCCTCCACACCGACACCTTTAAGACACAGCGAAGCACATTTTGCTACCTGTAATGACGTCAAATTACATTGATACTAGGTGTCTGGGTTGGGCTCTCCTTAGCGGCTGTTGTAGAAGACGAGGCTGGTGGGGGTGAAGGTGGTGTTGTGGAGAACGTGGGTGTCTGTTATGTGTGTCTTTGTCTGTTATGCGAGCGTCTGTGTGTTTGCAGTAAAGGGCTTAGGTGGTGGGGAGGCATGTGTCTGTCTGTATGTATGTATGTATGTGATGGAATATAGAGAATCCTACCCTAAACCATACCACAGCTGACCTAACCCACCTAGTCCAGACGGCAGCTGACCTAACCCACCGAGTCCAGACGGCAGCTGACCTAACCTAACCTAACACCGTGGCTAATGACCTAATGGCAATAATCCCTTGGTAGTTGAAGTAATGTTAGCTCGTATGTGGTCCGCGTGATTGATAAATAGAGATAGATACTGTAGATATATAGATAGATTGATAAATACTGTAGATAGTAGGTAGTAGGCAGCTACCAAACAGGGAGGTTCTACCGCCTGGGAAGATATTGGAGCATAATGTGTTGTCTAATGGTAGACCCTGCTGCCATATGTGACCAAGTCCCAGGTTGGTGATCTGACTTTCTGCCTCATTTACACACAATTGCAGGATCTCAATTGTTTCTCTTACTTGACAACACAACATACATATATTGTTTCTTACTGTTGATATTTTTTTATTTTTTATTTCTTTATTATTATTATTATTATTATTATTATTATTATTATTATTATTATTATTATTATTATTATTATTATTATTATTATTATTATTATTATTATTATTATTTCGCCCCCCAGGCCCCGATGTGGGTCAGTTACCTGTGCCTGGGTGGGCTAATTCCCGTAAAAAAAAATGCGTGTAGTTGGGGCCATGTATGTGTATGATACGAATTTGTGAACGTATACAGTATATGGTTGAATGTGTGTACTGTAGGGATCGTGTACGTACATCAGATGGTCGTGTACATACAGAAGGTGATCGTGTGTACATAGTAGAGGCAGGAAGGAGCGTGTTCAGCAGGTAGAGTCTTACCACAGGTGACCATGATGGGAGTATTGATCTGTAGGACCCACCTGAAGAGCTAAATATACTGTAGTAGGAGAGAAGTAATGGTTCCCCTCCGTCAGACAGCTCCTCACTACAGGGTCATCTTACACCGCCACATTCTCTCTCTCTCTCTTAACACCACTACTTTGGTTTTGTCTCAACTTGACTGAGAGATTGTGGGTAGATAATGTTGTGTGTGTAAAGCTAGGAAAGCACACACGCACACACACACACACACACACACACACACACACACACACACGCACGCACGCACGCACACACGAGACCAACGACTCACTCTCCTACAATTCTTCTTCGTCAGATAAGCTCGTTCGCTGCTGGTAGGTATATCAGCTCATAAATATCGCCGCTGAGTGTTGGCCGAAATCATGGGCGAGCTGCCAGAGATAGACTGGTAAATAACCCACACCTGGATGTCCCCCCCCCCTCTCCCCACATAACCCACAATCCTCCCCACTACCGCACACAGTACCTACAATCCCTCTACCACCTCATATATTACCCACAATCTCTCGTCCACAAAATGTATATAAACCGCACCTGAATATTCGTCCCCACATTACCCACCAGTCATGAACAAAGAAGTGTCGTAAACATTAGCTTATACCGAGACAGAAATAGACACTTTCTCTGAGCAGGAGTTCGGGTAACGTAATCATGCACAAGTATTGACTGATTCTGTACTTTTAATTGTGGGGGAGTGGTGGTGGTAAGTGATTGTATCTACTTTAAAGTCTCGTGTGTAATTCTGTTTCTGTTTTAAGGTTTTATGTTGTGTTGTTGTTTTTATGTCTCGAGTTAATAAGATAAGTTCATTCTTATGTTTGTAGTTACGAGGAATTATTTAACTTAGGAGTTGTTCAATATATGGAGACTTATTTTTTTGTGATCTGGGAAGGTGTTATTTATTTACCGTAAGTGTGTATAAAGGCGGCGTCACAGTAGCTCTTTTTCCCTCATTTTATTGTATCGATTTTCTAAACATTGTCAATTTTCTGCGCGCGACCCGTCACCCATAGAGGAACCAGCGCCTCAGTCTCTCTGTGTTCGGTGATTGTAAACTAAGTAGATGGCGTTGTTTGCCTTAATTCTCTTCAATTTTTACTGCATCTATTGTCTATCATGTTATATTAGGACAGGAATAGAGAGCCCGTGAAGAAGTTGTACTCATGGTTCAATGTAAACAAACACATTAGATGTGTTTACGAATATCAACAATAAACAAACTGACTGTTTTATATTATTGTCCTCAGGCGGAAACGATACGGTTCGTCTGAGCGGAAAAAAAAGACCATATTCGGGGAAGTTGGCGGATAAAATGCTAGTGTGACGCTGCCTTAAGGGTCCATCTCTAGGATAATTCCAAGTGTAAATTATCTTTTTGTCGTAACTGAAGCGAGTCATTTAAGATACGTTTTCTGTACTCAGTAAAGAGGAAAATTTAACGTAGGAAAATCTGAGAATCCATTTTTGTCTCAGTTTATCAACCTATATTTATTTGGTTCTGGTTTATGGGGCAAATTTAATTTAAAAGTCTGAGAATCTCGAGTGTGTGTGGTGCAGCAGTGTTGATAGTCGGCTTAGCTTAAGGCAGATACACACACTCGGCTGACTCTGGCCCGCTATCCCTTGTGTTGCCTGAATCACCCCTCCCACCCTCTCTCTTTCTCTCTTCTATTAGACTAAAAGCTCTGGTCTTTTCCTTCTCACTCGCTCCAACTGTGTCTTTATTTGATGTAGTGTGTTGAGGG